TGTGAGAGTGCTTTGTAAATTGTGCATTCATTATGTAACCTAAATGCTGATCATTTCAGGAAGCTTCCCTTTTCAAATATGTCACTTTAAATATATATTCTCTAGTAATCCAATGTTAGGTGAATCTCCTGAAAAATAAATAGAAAATTGTATTTGAATACACTTTTCTAAGAGAAGGTTAATAATTTTTATTCCATTCACAAAGGATTAAAAGGATTAGGAATTACTTACGAAAGTAAGTAATCCTTATGCTGTACTTTTTAGGAATTGTTTTCTGTATGTGTGTAGTAGACTCCAAAGTATTATTTAGTTTCTAGAAAGCATTTTGTCTGCCTAACTGTATGGCTGCTGGTATTGTGGAAAATATTAGTAAGGATATGCAAATTGTCTTTAACTCAAAATACAGCTAATAATATTGTTGTTATTTGCAGTTGTCAAAAAGCAGAGAAGTCTGGGGCTGGGGCTGTGGCTCAGTGGTAGAGTGCTCTCCCAGCATGCATGAGGCACTGGGTTCAATCATCAGCACCACAAAAATTTAAAATAACGATATTCTGTCTACCTAAAACTAAAAAAATAAATATTAAAGAAAAAGCAAAGAAGTCTTAAAACTGTTTGCACAGATGGAAATTATTTTAATTCGGAATTGATGTTTAGAAGTTGTGCAATAGATTCTGATTGTTCCTTAGCCTCCCAGAAAATGGTATTTCCACATTTCTTTAATAGAACAAAATCTTTTCATGTTGATGTTAGCATTGTTCTTGGCTGGCATGGAAAGTAAGAAAGAGGAAATATGTTTAGATAAAATGGATTTCATGGCTAGACTAAAACATTTATTTCAGAATTTTTTGTTTTGTAAAACCATTTGAATGTTTGTTTCTTTTTATGGTAATTTCATTCCTAAGTAATTGTTTACACCTTGATGAATATTTCAGTGTATTCCAGAATATTTGCAAATGTCTTTTATTTTTCTGAGGTGCATAATATATTTGTTTCATACTTTGGCCATTTTTCTTAAAAATTTAATTTCTCACTAGCAGTTTTCCTATCTATTTGAGATTCAAGCATACATTTTTCCCCCATGGTTTTCCCAGATGTATTCCTATTTTCCCCCATAATCTACACTTCCCATCAAAAAGAGTTCTCTTGAGTAGTTTCTTCTAAATTTTTAACTTATTAAGAGCATTTGAGCTCTCCCAGGAACCTAGGCATAGCATTACATTTCTATCAGAAAGTAGCTTGTAACCTATGAATCCTTTCAATAATTAGTCAGCTATGTGATTGAAGTGGTTTTAGATAAAGCATCTTTATCTCTACATATTTTTAGTCAGAATCTTCCAGTTTTTGAGATAGAATTTGGACATCCCTTACCTCCTTCTTCACCAGTTTCACTGTTTAATGCATCTGCCTTTAATACTTTTCTATTGCCATTCAAAGATTAAAGCCATCTTATAGTATTTTATTTTAATATCCCATATAAAAATAAATAATTGCACTAAAATAATTCAGCATGGAACATGTAGAATTTTCTATAATTGATTGGGATAATTGGGAAGTAACACTTGAAGCGGGAAATGTGGGTTGTGCAATTAACTTTTGTTGTGATCTTCAGCAGAAGTCAAACCTCTGCTGTCATAATATCTGAGGATAGTTGTACCTTGACAATGAATTACTCGTGGGCTTAAACCTTATTGATTGTATCACTTATACTGAAAAAATAAAAAAAAATTGAACTATCTGAAGATCCCTCTTAGTAATGATCATAAACTGGTCTTTTATACTCATTTTGACACAAATAAATGATTAGAATGCCAAAACTGTTGCAATTTTGAAAAATACTTTTTGAAAATAATATATATAACTATGTTCTTAAAAGTATTTGATAAATCTTGAATTTCATGGTTTTTGAATCTCTTGAATGTAATTTTTCCCCTTTTGTACACTGACATAAAGTTTAGTTGTACTTAGATCATCGGCTTTTCATCATTTGCTTTTTATGTTACTATTGTCAACTAATTAACTTCATCCTTCTTTGCCAGAAGATGCTGGAATTTATGCAGTTTCAAAATGTCAACTTCAAAATCAGTTTTTAAAGTATTTTCTCCCTTCCCTTTCGTGCCATGATTCAAAGATTAAAAACAATCCAACGAACAAACAAAAACCAGCTTATTTTCTTTCTCCTATAAAGTAAAGCGATTTAAAAAGTGTTTTTTACACTTGTGTAAGGAAATTTTCATCAAGTTTGGTTGTATCTTATATGACTATAGCAAATTATTTTAATGTTTAAAGATCACCTGATCCCAATTGGACCCTGTTTGAAATAGAGAGCACATTTAAGTAGCACATTTCCAGGGGGCATGGTTTAGTCATATTTACTGTGTCTGTAAATGATGGTTTGGCATTTTCTGGCAATGGTGTGATTCTAGCTATTTTTAAAACAGTTGCCACAGTAAACATTTTCAAAGTTTTTCTAACAGTACACATTAACATCTTGAATGTTACAAAGGACAGTTTGGGCAATAATTGCAACTTTTCTTTGATATATTTTTCAATGAATGCTTAAAGTTTCACCTTGAGTGTGGTCAGGCCCATTAAGGAATAAATGATGTTGCGTTGCTATTTTGCAAATAAAATATGAATGGTGTGTTTGTGGCAAAAAAAAAAAAAAAGATATCTAAAAAAACCTAAGAACTTTTTGACTAAGCATAGGCACTCTCATAGTTTTTTGTTTTTTCTTCACCCCCCCTCCCCCCGTACTATGGAATAACTAGCTTTGATTTGATTACACCATTACGTTTTTAGTAGAAGGAAGATAATAAAACTGTCTCCTACTTCCCTTCTTCCTATTGTCAGTATTCAGTGATCACATGCTGCTTTTCCCAAGTCCTTCTGAATAGTTCTAGTATATTTTATAGATTAAATTATGTCCTATAAATTGTGTCTGGGAAAGTTTTACTTTGCCATTTTGCTTAAAACAAAATAGAGGGACTGTTGAAAATTTCATAATAAAGTTAGATTGACCTATAAATAATAGTTTATTATAAGCAATGACTTATAAGTAATAGCATAATTGTCACAACTGTAGAGAAATCTTCAGTGTAATATTTTATGAAAGAAGACTTGACTTGAGTTTTTAAATAATGATATAAATTCTGTTACCTGACTTAACTGCATTTCCTCCCTCAGCTGGCTTGTTTTCTTATTGGCTTTTTTTTTTGTTTGTTTGTTTGTTTGTTTCATCTTTCATCCAGTGACTGCCCTGCCAACATGTTTTCTTCTTTGTAATGATGTGGATTGCATTTTCATTTCATTGAGGTCCTGGTTGTCAGGAATTGGCGAAGTAGGCAATGTGCTTTATAGATTGTGATAACAATATGGCAGCCTTGACTTTCTAGCACTGTTGGATGCGACTTTCTAGCACTGTTGGATGCGACTTTCTATGATGAGGGCAATGTTCTGTCTGCATTGTCTAATAATGGTAGCCACTGGCTACATGACACTACTGAATACTTGAAGTATTGTTCACAAATGTGAGGAACTGAATTTTTAACTAAGTTAATTTAAATTTAAATAGCCACATATGTCTAGTGGCTACCATATTGGAAAGTTCAGCTCAAGATGACCAGATTTAATCAGCATCTTTTTTTTTTTTTATTGACCATATGTGATTTTTGTTTACATGAACTTTAATCCCACAAATAACAGCCTTTTCATAGTTAAATGAATTTTTAGGTTTGGGAGAAATGTTTCTGTACTAACTTCTTTTGTCTTTATTTATACTTGGCATCAAAATACCCTTTGTCAAAGATCAAAATGATTCCCCAAATATTTAGATTACTAGGGAACAATAGTTATTTTATATTAAAATGGAGAAAAATAATTTTATTTGTTTTGAATACCCTAGTTGGTCAATTAATATGATTTTGTAAAATTTATATTATTCTACTATGCCATTGTTGCATGCTTGGTTTAGTTTGTACTTTCTTGCTTCTAGATTAAATTATTAGTTTCTATACTTGGCATTTTGCTGATACTTGCTTCCTAATGTTGATGGAACTAGGGCCAGGGCCATAGAGGTTTTGAATAAAGTTTGATAGTAACAGAATACTTTATAGTGAAGATATATTTATGCTTTCTTGAATATTTAACAAACTAGCTGTGTAATCTCAGTCATTGTTTTCACAAGCTTGCTGCCTTACTCATTGGCATCTTCAGAGAAGTACAGAGGAACTCCAACTTAATTATGGTTCAGTTTATAACTGTTTAACTTTTACAATCGTGCAAAAGTGATATGCATTCAGTAGAATCATACTTCAAATTTTGAATTTCAATCACTTCCCTAGGGTTTGAAACTGTGATATGATATTCTTTTTCACGTTGGATAGCAGCTGGGAGCCACAGCTCCTAATCAGCCATATGATCGCAAGGTGAAGCAGCCTGTCAATACTGTACATTATACTCTTTGTTAAACTATGATGTTTGGTAGGTTAGATGTATTAAATGCATTTTTGACCCATGGTATTTTCAATTTATGATTTTTTTTGAAATGTAACCCTATTATAAGTCAAGGAGCATCTGTTACTCTTAGTTGCTTTTATTATTCTCATGAGAGTAAAATCTAATGCCCATTCCCATTAATAGAAACTAACAAACACTAATAGAGCTGACTTAATTAAAGGGAGAGTAGAGGAACATAGACAAAAATAAATGAGACTTTCAGGAAAAGATTTAAAGCAACATAGATCTCACAGTAGGAAATTGAAGTTGAAGAGAAATGGTGAGGTCAGATAATAGATCAAAACATTTTTCAAAACAAATTAACTCTAAATAAACGATACTTTTTTATTGACTGCTGGATATGATACACTAATTGTATAGATAGAAACAGTTTCGAGTAAGCAGACAAGTTCTCTAGAAGTGGGAAGTCAAGGGAAAGATAGGGTCAGCTGCTATTTACATCTCTGACCTAGGCTCCTATTTGACCTAAGTCTGTCTTGATGCAGCAGCACAGGCCAGCGAGGAGGCAGTGTCATTTCGCCGTGAACGCAGCACATTTAGGCGCCAGGCAGTACGGCGCCGGCACAATGCAGGGAGTAACCCTACCCCTCCTACCTTGCTCATCGGATCACCCCTAAGGTATGGTATTTTAAAATTCCACCAAGTTAGCATGCATGAAACAGATCTTCTAACCTGTTCTGTCGGAACCAAGAAAGCACTTGAAGAGCTTTGCTTTTCTTTCTGTTTCTCTTCTATACATTTCAGCTCTTAGGCTTTCTCTGCATGTAACCATGAGCCTGTTGCATTATGCATGCCTTATGTTGTACTGTTTTTTTAAAAAAATGATCAGATTGGTTTTGTCAAGTTTAAATCGCAAAATCACTTTTAGAAATGTGAATAGTAGATCTTAAATTAGCATTCCCTCTTTTTTGTATTTCAAATTAATACTATTAATACATCTTTTCCCAATATCTGGATAGTGTTTAATAAGAAAAATTATGAGACCTAATGATGAGCTTGTTGAGAAATAACAGATAACTGACCTCAGTTTAAGTCAGTTTGTTTCATCTCACTAAAATATATTGTTTTACATTGTGTAAAATTGAGTGGTTTTTATTTCACAATCACCAGAACCTAATAAATAACAACTAAAATATTTATGTAAGTATGGTCAATTGGATATCCTTATCTCTATGTATATTTATATTTAATTTCTCAACCCCAATAACATATTAAACATTTTTTTCAATATTTCCAAATAAGAAAACATCCATTCATAATATTGGGGTTATTTTCCATTAAAATTTCAATAAGTGTTTTCTTCTTAATTATCTCAAATCTGATGAGTTCATGTCTCAAATTAGAAATTTAACAATTTGTGGGGAACTATGGTGTACACCTGTAATCTCAGCAGTTTGGGAGGTCAAGGCAGAAGGATCTCAAGTTTGAGGTCAAACTCAGCAACTTAGAGAGACCCTTTCTCAAATTAAAAAGTGAAAAGGGCTAAGGACATGTAGTTTAGTGGTAAAGCACTCCTGGATTCAATTTCCAGTACTGGGGGGAAAAAATGTAACAATCCATTCAAAACGCTATGCTTTATTTTAAAAAGACAAATATGGACGTAATTACATATATACTTTATCAATCTCTCTGTCCAAAAGCACAATTTACAAATTACTTTCTTTTCACATTTTAAAGAAGGAAGAACATTTGATAGATGAGAAGAGATAAGCCCTTCCTTTTTAAAATTTTTTTTTGAGAGTAGCAAAATCTTATTTCTTTAAAATGTTTCATTTTGTAAAGTCCCTTGAGATTTAAGATTTGATTCTTTTTCTAGATTTTTTTTATTAGAGCAAGAAGCTTCATCTCTCATAGATCATGATCCTAATTCCTTTAACAGTAGATAAATTAATATATATATATATATATATATATATATTTTTTAGTTGTACACAATACCTTTATTTTGTTTATTTATTTTTATGTGGTCCTGAGGATCGAACCCAGGGCCTCTTATGTGCTAGGCTAGTGCTCTACTGCTGAGCCACAACCCCAGCCCAATAGTAGATAAATTTATAAAAACTTGTTATTGGCTAAACCAACATTTAAAATATAGAAGTGGGAAGGCAACCAATTTAAAAGAAATATTTATTCTAGGAACCTTTGCTTTTTGTGAGCACCCCACTTCTATTTCCTCTTACCTTCTTTTCTTCCTGAGGGAACTTTTCCTTCTGCTAGTGAATTTTGGGCCTAGCCTCAACATGCAGAAAGAGGTGAGCATTTTCTTAATTTTTTAAAAAAGATTTGTTTCTTAACCTTTCAAAAAGCCCCTTAAATAATACTGCCATTGATAACTTCTTTGCCTTGTTACTCACACCATGTTTCTATTTCTTAAACATTTAATTAACCTTCTGTAAGACTAAAAATTCTTTCATTCTTTGCTACAAATGAACCTGCTGAAACTCATCAAACAAAGGCAGACAAATTAGTTTTTTCCCGTGCCTGGTGGAATATTAGATTTACCGTTACAACTCCAAACATTCACATAATATTTTCCCAAGGCTTTAAATATATTAATCACATCTAGGGTATGGCATAGAACTTCTAAAGACATCATACTAGAATTTTTGGAAAGTAATCTTATACTAGTCAGCATGTATAATTTTTGTTAAAGTTCCAGGATATTTTCAATACAAAGGTTGCATATATATCGTAAATAAGCTGGCTTTACTCTTCCTCATGAGTGAAGTGAAATAAAATTTAACGGAGAGGAATTAGGAAAAAGTACCAACTTATTAAAATCATCTTTTGTAATCATAAAAATATTAAAGGGAAGTATTGTTATTTTTTTTGGTATAAGCTCTCAAATAATAATCTCATCTTTAAATAAATATAGGATGGCATGGTCATTTCAAAGATGGCAAACTTATTTGCCAAAAACGGATAGAATATATGTGTCAATACTTTCATTACAATTACTATATAAATACTAGTAAAATTTACTACACTCATCTCTCTTATCTGTAGGGAAAATGTTCCTCCAGTGGATACCTGAATCATCAGATGGTACTAAACCCTGTGTATATCAACAATACAAATATATTTATGATAAAGTTTCTCAGTTCACCACAGTAAGAAATTGCTGCCAAACTGGGTTCAGTGTTACATGACTTTAATCTGAGCGATGCAGATGCAGGCCAATGCAGGAGGATTGCGAATTCAAGGCCACCCTTAGCAACTTAATGAGACCCGTCTCCAATTTTAAAACAAAGGGCTGGGTATATTCAGTGGTAGAGCACCCTTGTATTTAACCCACAGTACCACCAAGAAAGGAAGAAAGAAAGAAAGAAATTAATGATAACATAATAAACTAGGAATGATAACAAGATATGTTATTATAAAAGGTATTTAAAACTTAAACATTGTTTATTTCTGGAATTCCATTTACTTTTTTCAGATTGCTGTTGATCATGGTTCTCTAGAACTGCGGGGGACCGCAGGGAGTAGTGGGTAGGGTGGTGGGAGCATGGTGCGCGTGCGCGCGCGCACACACACACACACACACACACACACACACACACCCCACACTTTAGATAAAGGGAGACTACTATAATTTATTTTAAACTTCAGTGAATAGTTTCTAATGAGCCATCCAAAAAGCAATGTGGTAAAATCTGTTTACATGGTTTGGGAGTGAATCATGAATTTTCTCACAAACAGAATTTGCATTTTTAAATAATGCTTATTAGAATAAACTCCTCCAGAACTATTTTTATAGCTTTTTAAAAAAATTAGCCTATATGTAGGTTTTAGAGATCCTTGCCAATTGTTCCTAGTCAGTAGAGCTAAAAACAAAGGCAAATATTTAAAAATATTAGAAGACAAATATTAATAATTCTGTATTTATCAACCTAAATGTTACTTTTTAAAATATAAGACTGAAAGATCAGTGGCAAAAAATAAGATCACAATTATATTTGAGAGTTCATTGTTAGAAATTTATGAAGGTTGTTTTGTGCTCAGAAAAGAATTAATCAGATACTTGTGTATTACATTGAAGATATTCTTTTCTCTGGAATCTGGAGATTGAGAGGAATTATGGAGTCACACTCTCAGAGTTTACATTTTTATTTAGACAACACATACAAAACTAATTGACAGTACAAGAAAGGATGTGCTAACTATCACTTCAGTGCTACAGAAGAAGAAAGAACAAGACCAATTATTCTTCATTTAAACTGGAAATGTTAATTAGCATGATTGTATACCAGTGATACTAGTGGTAGCCAATAATTAAACACTTAAATTTCTACCTTTTGCTATGTTGTAAAGTAGTTGCTACCTTTTTTCAAATGGCTAGTTTTATTATATAATTGGAACTGTAAAGAAGATACATTTATGCCAGTTATTAGTTTGAAATGAAATGCAACCCATCAGGATTATGTTTTTTGACAATTTTTGCAAAAGTGACAGACTTTTTCTTGTTGAAGGGTTTTAAAAATAGAAACGCAAGGGAAATAAATATTTTATTACTACCTTTTAAACTCAATATTTATTATCTCATAGAATTTGTCATTTCTTTTACTTCTTTATTCTGGAGTTGATAAAAATCAACTGCCTGATATTTTGAAAACATTTTATAAACTTGGTTATACATTGTACATCTGGGTTCAAGATTCAAATATTCTCAAATGTACTTATATAGAAATACATCTAAGTGTACTAACCATCTTTGCTTATGATTATATGAAAAATTACTAGAAAAACTTGTTGAGTACAATTTCCATAAAATTTGGCTCTTTTGAATCTAAAAGGACACAGTACTTAAACTACTTAGATATTTTTCCTTGCTGTTTTTCTCTTGTGAAACTTGTTCAGCTTGGTAAGGTTTGTGAATAAGTTTAGATAGCTTTTGAGGAAGAGTATCAGATGCATTATATATGTATGGAAGATAAAAACTTATCTTCAGATCATGTCTTGATTTATATGTATTATATGAAGTTTCTAGTCCAAACAAGTTATTACATAAATCCTTTTGTAGTTATGGCTTAGTTATGCCAGTAAGGATTTATAAGTCAAAATTTTGCAGATTTGATTTTTCTTATATGTTGTGTGCATTCTTATTTGTGCTTAGAACATGTACCCTTCAGTGATGCTAAAACAAGCCTGAAATGTGAATGTTGCTAGTCAATATAACTTTCTGTGATGGTAGAAATATTCTGTAATCTGCACTGTCCAATGTAGTAGACACTAATTACTAACTACTGCCCACTTTGTTAGCCACTGGCTATGTTATGTGATCATTGAGCAATTGAAATATGGTTTGTATTACTGAGAAAATTAAATTTTAATTAATTTAAATAGTTCCTGACTACTTCAGACAATGCAGTTCCAGAATATTCTGTTGATATAGCCACAGACTAAAATATTTTTAATTAACCTTTTATTTCATGGTCCATCTGTAGTAGATAAGTTTGTTTTATAGGCATCAGAGAAACTATTATGTTGAATTTAAGGGATTAGAGAGAACTTGGTATTCATTAAAAATAACAAAGTAAGGCTATCCTGAATAGCATTCTTTTTGTTCTAGAGGTCTAATAATTTTAGAAGCAGACTCTTGGGATTGTTCAAAGTCAGCTCAGATTAACGGAATACAGTGTTTCATTGAAGAATAAGCAGTATTTCATTGAGAATAATCTAATAATTATAATTAAAATGTTTTCATGAATTTCATCAGTTTAAATTTGTTTAGATATTATATGAGCCTTAAAATTCACATTATCTAAATAAATTTATAAAAATATAAGAATGATATAGAAAATTTTATAAATAATTTTAATAACTTTATACTAAATACTAAATATTGTAGCAAAAACCTTTATGGAATTTAGAAAAGATAGAACATCCCATGAAATTACAGGTTTCCAAAATATATTTTCTAAAATGATGGGTCCTAGTTAATGAGACTACAAAACAGATTAAAAAGGAAATAACAATTTGTTCAGGGAACATAATCTTTAACTACCTCCTTAAATACTAACCATGTTATTTCAGAAATATGTAGGCTTTTTATAGGTAATATTTTATATTTATTCTGCTTCTGTCAATATTCTGATGGTCATTTGTGTTTCACTTGTTTGAATGAGTTTTTCCTGTTCTCTTCCACTAGTTTGTGATTTTTTTTTTTTATTCAGAATTGTTGTCTTGGTTGCATTTGTTAAGATTCTTTGGTTTTCAAGTGCATAGAGACTTTGTTTTATAAAATTGAGACCCCAGAATGTTTTAAAGAAAATTTTAGAATTGTTTGAGATTATAAATAAAAGTGCATGTTTAACTGACACATATGGTGAATGTGCTCACAACTCTGTTGCTTTTTGTTTCCCTTACACTAGAATTTATTTGACTTGAAGTAGAAGAAAGTTGCAGATTGAGCAATTTACATATATATTAAATGTTCAGTGCATTAATCACTACAAATCAAACTGATAAGGACCAGAACATTTAAGTTGGCAGTGTCATCTCTATATTTTACAAAGTTGGTTCTTTCTTAGGTTACATTGAAAAGTGTCTTTTTGAAATCAGTTTTCTATATTGATTTCATTCTAGCTATTTTCTCTTTTCTTCCCTGTAATGTCTCCCCAATCCATGTTTTCTCCTAGCCTTCAAGATGGTCAGCAAGGCCAGCAGTCCACAGCCCAGGTCAAAGTCCAGTCCCGCCCCCCTTCCCAGGCTGCAGTGCTCAGTGCTAGTGCCTCATTGCTGGTGAGAAATGGGAGTGTCCACTTAGAAGCATCACATGACAATGCATCTGCTGTAGGCGGTAGCAGTTTGCAAGATGAACTTGGTATGCAGGCCTTATGTAATCTTGGTTATACAAAACTTTAATGCAGCAGATAATGGATGATGATTGCACTTCTTTCTTGAGATAGCTTCATTTTGGAACTATGCATAAGAGCACCATGTTTGCCCAGTGTGTAAGGAAAATTTAAGTTTTTTGCTTTTTTGTTGTCTGTTTCTACTTCTTACTCTGTGTTTTATTTTGAGCATGTCCATTATTAGTAGGTAGTTAATGTATTAATAAGTTTATACTTTAGTATTCTCTTGAAAATTATTTTGACAGTTTTTCCCAAGCATTTGTACTATATGAGAATTTTTTTTTAATTGTTTAGGCCCGGTGTGGTGGGGTTCACCTATAATTCCAGCAACTTGGGAGGTTGAGGCAGAAGGATCTCAACTTTGAGGCCAATGTAAGCAACTTAGTGAGACCCTGTCTCAAAACAAAAAATAAAAAGGGTTGAGGATGTAGCTCAATGGTAAAGTGCCCCTGGGGTCAATCCCCAGCACACCTCCCCCTACAAAAAATACCCTTTGATTTCTTTGAATATGCTATATATAGGAAAGGCAAAAGTGCTTTCTAATGGTCAGTTACTAAAAAATATCTCTTTGAGGTATTCTACATTTTACAATGTCCAACATTTTTAATAGAATTTATTATAGTTCTAAATACAATACTCTGAGGATATCATGGCTCTATATTAATATCAGATAATAACTGGATAAAGTATATCCCTTTTTCCTGTTTACATATCTATAAATGTACACATAAATTATTAAATAATTAATTCTCAGAGTCGTATAATTGAAAACCTTGCCAATACATTAGCCATTCAAATATCTGCTTTATGCCTTTAAATAAGGGTAAAATTTTATACTGATTTGATTTCTGTTTCTCTATATTGATTTCATTTTTATTTCTCTATATTGAGCTGTAGATTCCAGCTTTGTTGTGCTCAGAATGCAGATTAGTTATTAAGAAACACACACTTGTGATTTTGCTTATTTGTGTTATAGCTGCTTTTCACTTATAAAAATGACATCTAATTGATGCTTTAGTTGGAAGGATATGTGGTGTAAAGTACCAAAATTAGAATTCAGTAAAGCTTCTTACGCTATCTGTCCATTGGCTCCTTTTCTATTTTGTAAAATAGGTACAGAGATATTAATAGATATGTAAATGTACATATTGATGAAAATGATTATCTTTAACAAATCTTGAAAATGGACATCTAAGATTTATAACATTAGAGTGAGTGAGTTTAGATAAAATAACAAATCATTGGAATACTTTAATTTTAAACTTGGAATGCTTTTGGTTCTAGGTTTGTAATTTGGAGAGTTAAGAAAATCTCTAAGGAGAGTGCTTAAGAGAGAATTAGACGTCAGTTTTGCTACTTAATTTAGTTGCAGGTGAAACTTTTTAGTTGCAAATATTTAGTTTATCATTCATGTGATAATATCTTTGTTCATCATCAGTTAACCTAGTGTCCAGATGGACAGAAGGCTTGTGAATATGAAACTTTAGATGCCAGCTCATTGTCTGCTGGCTTCATGGATTAGAGAGAACTTAGTATTCATTAAAAATAACAAAGTAAGGCCATCCTGAGTAGCATTCTTTTGGTGGATTGGTTAAAGTAAAAGGCTTCATGTTGATCCACTTCAGATTTTTTGACTTTTTCAGATAAAGCATAAAACAGTTGATGATTTTCCTCAATGAAAATTCTTAGTTTTCTTTTAAAAAATCAGTGAAGCATGCCTTAATTAAAAACTTTCATTTTTAAAGTCATATGCAGATTATTGGAAATACATACCTATAAACTGTCTTACCATTCTGATAATAAAGCCTCCTGGGTGGAGGTACTTTTAGCATTTTCTGGTAGACACTCAGGATAGTCTCTGGGAATTTGAATTTTTCCCTTCACGTTAACTGCGTTTTTTTTTTTTTTTTTTTTTTTTTTTAAGTTGTCAATGGACCTTAATATTATTTATTTATACACGGTGCTGAGATTCAAACCCAGGGCCTCACACGTGCCTGGCAAGCGCTCTACCATTGAGCCACAACCTCAGCCCCTTAACTGCCTTTTGATAGCTAGTTCTTGGCTTGTAATACTTGAATGCTGCCACATTGAATGCTTAGTAATAATTAGCACAAAACAATGAAGGGAAAGTGAATACCTGTTCCACAGTACATAAAGTTGTCCCCTCAAAATTCTGAAAATGAACTGCAACTGACTTAAAAAGAACTGCTAGGGAAACTGGAATATTTTTGTGGCATGGTTTAGTTTTTCATGTGATTTTAATTAACAATAGTAAGATAATTTTGTATAAGTGGATTTGGGTACTGTATATTCAGATATGTTAAAGTTAGCCATGATGTTTCTTAAAAATAAGGGATATCTATAAGGGATTGTTTCCTTCCCAGTTTAGCTGCTTTATTAAAAAAATTCACATGTGCAGTTTTCACATGTGAAAATATATACATATACATAAGACATTTATATATAACAATATATACACTATATACATATACACATACTCACATCTGTTCAGCAGGCATAATTGTTAATCAAAATTACTTTTAGAAACTGAATAATAAGTGGTATAATAAAAAAAAAAACCCTTTCCTATAGGCTTTATTTCCATGAAAACCAAGTTTAAAAAAAAAAAAGCTTGAATGGAAGTGATGGCTTGAATGACAATTATTTTGAAGAAAACATTTTTTAAAAAGAAATTTCTATCAGAATTACCTATCTTTCAATGCTATATGTTGTTCTTTTAAAGATCACATCTTAAAGTTTGATTTAATTTCATTCTGATCATTTTTTATTGGATTTGCTTCTTGCACTTGGTTTTATGCTACTTTGTGAATTAAAATGTAATAATACTAAGTAAAACAAATTGTAGTTTAGTTCCAAGATTACACTACAGGAGAGACTGAAATCAGGTAGTCTTGAAATTCTATTTTATATTTGCTGAGCTTTTTCTATAAAATTTAGCAATTGCTTCTCAATTTTTATGTTAATCTCTGTTTCCTCTTATAAATTAAGACTTAACATGTAGATGCAATGATGAAAAATACTTTCATAGTTGATAATAACCCTGAATATGTAACATATCTCAAAGGGAATGTTCTATATAAGATCAGGTAGGAAAGAAAAATTGGCCTGTGTGTGTATGAAATTACTGGTGATCATTGCTGAGGATATATGTGTTGAAAAGCATATACAAAATTATTTCAACTCTATTTGGAAAAATTAAAAATTACTCTTACAATATAGACAGGAAACAAGCACATGTCAGTTTTATATATATGTACATATAAAATATGTAAACATGAGTAGTATTTCTCTGATTAAGACTTTTTAAAATTTGGTTAATGTTTTAGGTGTTTAAAAATTGTTGCATGAGCCGGGCACAGTGGCACACTTTTGTAATCCCAGGAAATTGGGAGGCTGAGCCAGGATTGCAAGTTTGAGACCAGCCTCATCAATTTAGTGAGGCCCTAAGCAAGTTAATGAGATCCCGTCTAGAGAAGAAAAAATAAAAAAATAAAGGAGGGCTGGAGATGTGGCTCAGTGGCAAAGCGCCCCCCCACCCCCCACTTAAATCCTCAGTGTGTGTGTGTGTGTGTGTGTGTGTGTGTGTGTGTTTGCTTGAATTGGTTTTTCTGAGGCTCTTTTTTCCCCTCATCTTTTTATTTTATTTTATTTTTTTTCCTGAGACTCTTTTGTTTGTTTCATTACTGAAAGATTGACAAAGAAGGTATTCTTTGAAATAATCTGCTTTACTACAGAGTTTATTAACTTGAAAATGTAGTTAGCTGTAGGGGAAGACTCCCAGGAAATCTCGAAACACCTTGATGCCCTTCTTATTAAGCTGCTTATTTTTGGTTTTGTTTTTTCTTTGTACTGGGAGTTGAGCCCAGGCTCACTTAACCACTGAGCCACATTCCCAGCTCTTTTTATTTTTGATTTTGAGACAGGATCTTGCCGAGTTACCTAGGGCCTTGCTAAGTTGCTGAGGCCAATCTCAAACTTGTGATCTTCCTGCCTCAGTCTCCTGTGTTGCTGGGATTTCAGATGTGTGCCCAAATTGGTGTTTGTTTTTTAGTAGAAAGATACTAAAATATTTAAAATATATTTTTTGGAGAAAGTGAAACTCATGGTATGTAAATGAAAGTTAACTGTTCATTTTTATTGAAACAGTACAAGTGCTTTATTGTATCTAGAAGGAGGAATTATATATAGGGGATATATTGTACTTACACTTCCTTTTGATAGAATTATGATGTGCTATTAATCCCATCCTTAGAACAGAAATAGAAGTCTACAAATATCAAGAGATACATTGAAAAATTAAGTCATCATAATCTCATCACTCAGATAGCCACTATTAATATTTTGTGATTTTTTTCTTCTAGTTTATTTTTTTAATATTTATTGTTGACACAATACCTTTATTTTATTTATTTATTTTTATGTTGTGCTGAGGATCAAATCCAGGACCTCGCATGTGCTAGGTGAGCTCACTACCACTGAGCCACAACACCAGCCCCTCTTCTAGTTTTTTAATATACATATGTATGTAATTTTCTAAAATAGAGTTGTAATCATTTTATGTGACATTGTGCTACTGTATGAGTTTTGTACCTTTTTTCACTTGTTTTTAAATAGGTATATGATATTTTGTCACTTACATCTATATGAAAAACAGTACAGTGTAGAGAACTCTATGGAACCATACTTCTGAATTTCAATCCAATGCTCTGCCACTTACACTAGCTATTTGACGTTGGACAAGTTTTCTCTCTCCCATGTATTTTTTCTTTAAGTCTTTGGTAATGTATACATGTATGTGACTTTTCCCCATAGTTTTCTCATTTGTCAATTGGGGCAATAATAGTGCTTACTTCATAGGTTTATTATGAAGATTATATCTGTTAAAACATGTAAAGTAATATAACAGTGCTGGCAATAGTAAGTTTATCAGATGAATGATCATTGCTAT